GGGCGCGGCGCCCCCTCAGCGAGCGTGGGCTGCCGTCACGTTGTGGAGGGCAGCTGCTTGCCGGTGTCGCTCGGACCTTCGCAGCGGCAGGGAAGCTAGAACCGAGATTCACCGGCTTGTAAAGTGCAAATCTGTACCACTGCAAGGGGGAAGGAGAATCACCACGAGCTGTACAAGGCCTCTGACACACGATTGAGCCATTCCAGTTCTGTCCAGTACAGGGCACTGCTGTCTCACCCGGCACCCCCTCCCTGCCTCGCTGCATCCTGTAGTACCTTCAGGATTGCTTCACCCTGAGCTCCCCCCCTTCCCTCTGCGGGGTGCGAAAACGCAAATAGGGAAGTTAAGTGCTTTGACCAAGGCCAGGGGAGGAATCAGTGGCAGAGCAACAGGAGCAGGAGCTCGTGTCTGCCTGTCCAGTGCCCAGATGAGGCAGCACTGCCCACGGAGGCCTCTCTGAATCATTGAGTCACAGAAAATGAGGGCTGAAGGGACCTCAGGAGGTCACATCTAGTCCATGCCCCTGCTCCAAGCAGGACCAGCCCCAACTGCATCATCCCAGACAAGGCTTTGTCTACCCAGGTCTTCAAAACCTCCAAGGATGGAGACTCCCCCACCTCTCTGGGGAGCCTGGTCCAGTGCTTCACCACCCTCCTAGTAAGAAAGTCTTTCCTAATATCCAACCTCAACTTCCCTTGTTGCAACGTGAGCCCATTGCTCCTTGTCCATCATCTGCCCCCACTGAGAGCAGCCCAGCTCCATCCTCCAGTCCACTTCCCGGTCAGTAGCTGCCTGAGAAAGGCAAAGGAACGAGAAGGCCCACAACTGAACAGAGACTTTGCTCCGCTGGTCGTTTTGTAGAAAGGCAGGGTAGATATGCACCTTCTAGACCAACTAAATTAGATAAAGAGAGAGCACGAGCTTTCCTGAACTCCAGTTCACTTAATGAGACACTGTCAAAAGACAGCATAGGGCTGAGTATTAAGTGGAGTGAGTGATTAGAGTACAAGAGGGGGGAAAAGAGGACACAGTCCTCTATCCCTTGATAGTTTCTTGTTCCACAATTTTCCCTTCACACTGGTTTCTAAAGGGGTTTTTTTTGCCTGCAAACAGCAGTCCTGAGGTCAGCGATGGAGCGTGCAGGGGGTGCCCAGGCCTTTGCTTTGCAGCTGGTATCAGATCCATGTATTCATTCCTGTGTGTAGAGATGGCCCTGCCTGTCCAGTGTGGACAGAAGATAGGCATCGTAAGCCAGTGACGGTGTATATGATGTTGGTACAATTTCAGGTGAACGAACCTCAGATTTACTCCTTGTCCTTTGGTCTGGTGGTGATGAGGTCTCCATTATCATTGCAGGGGGGGTGCGCCTGAAGGACACAGTGTTTCTAGACAAAACCGCTGGTCTCATTTCTGTAAAAAGATGTGTGAAAAAAATATACATATGCACGTATAATATATGTACACACCCACACACACCCACACATGTATACATACACACGTGTGTATTTATATATAAGTATGTGTGTATACACACACACATATATATGCTGCTCCAGCATATATCTATATCTATATATCTATGGATATACCTGCACACACACCCTACACACACACACACATATACATATACACCCTGCTACCTCATATATATCTATATATCTATATATATCTATCTATGGATATACATGCACACACACCCTACACACACACACACACACATATACATATACACCCTGCTACCTCATATATATCTATATATACACCCCACCATATATATATCTGTATCTATCTATATCTCTATATATATCTATATATCTAGATAGATAGATAGATGGGGGTGTGTGTATCTGTGTGTGTATTTTCAAATTAATCACAGCTCAATTTTTTTCATATGCACGGCTGATCTCCCCTCCCCTCCCGACAGACATTCAACCTGGAACTACAGAAGAATTTCAGCGAGAAGGCAATGCAAACCTTTATATATCTAGATAGATTGATAGATAGATGGGGGGGTGTGTATCTGTGTGTGTATTTTCAAATTAATCACAGCTCAATTTTTTTCATATGCACGGCTGATCTCCCGTCCCCTCCCCTCCCGACACACATTCAACCTGGAACTACAGAAGAATTTCAGCGAGAAGGCAATGCAAACCTTTCATTTCTCTTGCAAGCTTATGGGCTGAAAGATCTAAAAACGGTGTGGATGTCAGCCTGCTTCCTGCCGGTGTCAGCGGTGGTGCTTTTTCAGCTGAAAACCTGTTTCAGCTAAAGCCTTTCAGCCAGCCACAATGCCTCTACATAACCTGCTCTGTGTTTATCCTGGCTTTTGTTTTTTTGGCAGCTCCCCAGTGCTTCGCAGACACTGCTAAGAGCCTCTCTGTGCAGGCAGCTTACAGTGTAGTGCAGGTGTGGGAGCGATGCATCAGTGTGCGCTTGGCGATAACATGATTTTGAAGCAGTGGGGGAACAAGTCTGGCAGAGGATTCGTCATGCTCCTCCCCTCCGAGGTCAGGTAGCCTTGCTGTTCCTACCGTCCAGAAGGAGAAACTGGGGAAGTGATCTGCTGAGCCACAAAGACTGAGACTCAGAACCCAGGAGTCTGGGTAACCGCAGCACATAACCATGAATGATTAAGAAAGACATCACGTACGTTATTAAACACATCAGGAACTTCAGAGAGGTAAAAGTTTCCGCTGTCCGTTGGACCTGCTGCCTTGGGCTTGAGGAGTTTGCACGGACTCTGCCGGCTTTGGATGGCTTTGAAGTGCACGCCGCTGGCCCCAAACCAGCTTAGTTCAGAGAAAGACAGATGGGGGTTTTGCATCAGTCTATTT